CTGGAGCTGCACGAAAGTGGGCTGCAAGGTAGCCACTCACTGGGTGCGTGGGGTCGAAGGTTGAGGAGCCGAGGAGGGTACCCTAGCGGGAGGAGTAAAGAATTGTAGGGAACCTTGGGGTGGAAGTGGTGGCAGGTTGTGGGCCGGGGCTGCCGGTGGAAGGTCCAACAGAGGTGGAGGCAACGACCGCAACTAGCTGTGACGGAGTGGCGAGGTAGGAGGGTAGAGGGGAAGGAGCCGGTCGAGGGTAACGAGACGGCAAGATAGAGGTGGGAGGGGCGGTATAAGAAGAAGGGTGAGCAGTGTGCTAAGGGTGAGGCTGTCTCAGGGTGAGAATCTTCGCCTGGAGCTGCACGAAAGTGGCCTGCAAGGTAGCCACTCACTGGGTGCGTGGGGTCGAAGGTGGAGCAGCCTAGGAAGGTACCCTAGCGGGAGGAGTAAAGAATTGTAGGGAACCTTGGGGTGGGAGTGAGGAGATGATGGTAGGAGGGAGGACTCCGGGCCGTAGTGCCGGGACTGAAGTAGGAAGCTGGTAAGCCAGACCGGGATGAGTAGATGAAACTGCCTGCCCAGATACCGGTATCTAGGCAGCAGCACCTACGATAGTGGCCGAAGCGGTAGGGGTGGCAGGGGACCATGGGTGCGCCGCAACAGATGGTATAGTCAGAGTGGCGGCGACACTGACCACTGCGGAGGGGGAGTGCGGGGCCTGACCAACGGGGGAGGACGAACCACCACGTCTCCGTGTCTAGAGTCGTGGGGAGCCTGGCTGTGAGCCGGTAGGGGATGGGGTGTGAGAGCGGTGAGGAGAACCCTTGAGCCGGCGGTGAACTTCAAGGGTGAGCGCATCGAGTCGCGCTTGCAAAGGTGCAAGGAGGGACGCAAGAACAATGCGAAGGTCCGTGGGGTCCACAAATGTCTGACCCTGGACAATCAGGTGGGTGGGTGCGTGGGAGATGGAGGATGCCGCGGCGATCTCCCCGGGTGTAGTCCCGTCCGTGGGTGGTGGACGTACGGGGGTAGACATGGCGGGAGGTGGAGGAAGAGGTAGAGAAAGAGGTGCAGAAAGAGATGGGTTGTGGCGTGGGGACGGGGGACCACCGGTGAGAGGGAGGACCGCGGAAGTGGAGTGGGTAGTCGTGAGTCGGTTAGCCCCGTGACCAGCGGGTCGCGCGTGAGAGGGTGGTGCGAATCCGGTTGAGGCGAGAGGAGCCGTTCGGATCCAGGGTACCCGACGGGAGGAGGCGGGAGAGGAGGGGGGTTAGGAGAACCCTAAACCTTAGAAAAACCCTAAGAAAACCCTAATCGGAATTTGGGTGGTTAGGGTAGGGTAGCGGCGACCTAATCAAGAAAAGAAAATAGCAACCATGGAGGGGAGAGGGGGAAAGAAAAACAAATGAACAGTGAAATTTTTGAGATAAAAGTAAAAGAAAATAAATAAAACAATTAAAATAAATAAATAAATAAATAAATAAATAAATGTGAAGAGAGAAAGAATATCTACTTATTTGGGATTTTCGGCAGCATTTCCCTACCCCCCATGGGGTCGAAAATGCGCCAAGAGGAAGGAGAGACCAAGAGAAGCACACCATGTTGCAAAATGTCACAAATGACAACTTTCAGAAAAATAAACAAAGAAATAAAGAAATAGATAAATAAATAAATGAGGAGGTGGAAGAGAGTGAAGAGAAACCAAGTGTTGGATTTTTCAAAAATTTCGGCAGCATTTCATTACCCCCATGGGGTCGAAGTGTGCCGTCAATAACAATGAATTTCGGCAGCGCTTCGTTACCCCCAAGGGGTCAAAATGTGCGCCGATAGCTGAAATAGCTAAGTCCTAGACAGATATAGAGGTGCCGCAGAAAAAATCAAATTTTCAGAATAAATAAAAATAAAAATGCAATAAATCAGAAAAATGAGAATGGAGTTGATGTGGCTCAGTGGTTAGAGCACTGGTTGGAAATGCGCATTGTAGTATGAGGTTGCGGGTTCAAAACTCAATTGCAACCTTGCGCATGGACACCGGCAGGGCGTTAGACTGACGCACGGCTGGACATACACTCCCTTGGGCTGATGCATGGTACTATTAGACACTGCCTGCACACCACCCAAGGGTTGTTCATGGTGTTGTATGTTGGTTTTGGGTTTCACATGGGTTGCTTGGGGGTGTTGGTCTTGGGTGTTCTGTTGATCTCCCCAGTCTGGCATATCACACGTTCGTGCCATTTCCACTAGCCGTTCACATGGTAGAGTCATACGATTACATGTTTCAAGGTGACGGGTTCGAGCTTGGTTCGGATTTTGGGGGGGTCCTTGTCCAGCTTACCCCATTCTCTCTTCAATATACACACATGATGCTGCCTATACATCTCGATACGTCGATTCACAGAGCACACACAGCCTTCGGGCATATACATAGCTTGCGAATTATACATGGCCTACGGGCTACATACACAAGTTTCCATACATAGTGCTGTCTGTACATCTTGATACATAGATACGCGGAGCATACACAGCCTTCGGGTATACATACACATTGCGAACTACACAACTATCAGACGGGGAGGGTCTAGTCACTGGGTGGGGTCTAGTATCTGCGGTAGGGACAGGTATGGGCCACCGGAGTTCCTAGTGATATTCGGGTAGAACTGTCTAGTGGCTATATATAAGGCTTAGACCCTGGGTTAAGGGTAGGGGTAGAAGTCGCTCATAGTCTGAGTTCCGCCCGGCCTTGGGTAAGCTAGGGGAAGGACGGTAAGACTCCTTCAATGGGTGCTACCCTGTCTGAAACCTAGGGCCCAGAGTCTCTTGGGGCCTGTAGTAGATTGTTTGGGCCTGGCGTCTGGAGTTCCCGTTCGACAAGGCTCGCCCGATTCTGCTTCCACCAGGGCTGGGCAACCTATCAGCCCTGGTGCCTATCACTGCTGTTCAGTCCAAGTTCACTGCCCATTGGTAGGGTAATGGTCCTGAGTGCTGGTCACACTGAGGTAGGATAGTGGGATAGGGGGTGCGCTAGGAGTATTGACGCGAGGATGGTATGGGAGCTGGTCTCATATTCCAGGACACCCACGGCCTACTGCTCCAGGTGATCACTGTGTACTCAGTGACTGGCCTCTACAACACAATGGACTGAAAAATTCGAAGTTGGGGGTGAGGGGGGATGAAAAAGTGATGAAGAGAGAGAAAAATAGGTGAGAAAGAGAAAAAGACTGAAGGGGGAGGTGGGGGGATGATTGGGTTGTAGTTGGGGGAGGGAAGGGAGAGAGAGGGGTGGGAGAATGGGAGAGAAAGTGATGAGAAAAGTGGAGAGAAGTGGAGAGAAGTGGGAGAGATTAGTAGAAGATGGTGAGTGGGGAGTGGAGGGAAGAAAAAGATGGTGGAAGATGAGTGAAGGGAAAGGTAAGAGGGGGGGGGAGTAGCGGTAGAGGTAGAAGAGGTGATGAGATGGTGTAGGGGAGAGAGAGAGGGGGAGGTGGGAGAGTAGGTTAGTGGAGAGAGATGATACCAGGCTGTTGGTTGGCCAAGAGCAACAAGGCCACCAAGATCCACTGGATCTTGGCCTTCAAGATGCTGGTAGCCTGCTGCTGCAGCAGAAATAATAATAATAATAATAAATAATTAAGGGTTGGCTGAGATCTTGATCAGCTACCCTGGCCAGGGGGGTCTTCATTGCTGCCACACTGCTGGTGCAGCAGTAGAAATAAGCATCATCATTATCTGGGTGTGCTGAGATCTTGATGAGCCACCCAGATCTCCCTATAGTGCAGTCCCCTAACCCGGGGGGTCTTCAAGGTCCTCAGCAAGCTGCCACGTGGCACTGCAGATGGCCACGTGCGCAGGCAGAAGCAGCCATGATGCCTTGGGGGGGGGGGGCTCAAATAGCAGCTCGCCCGCTGCTGTCCTGCTGGCCGGTGCTCGCCGCTCGCCGGGTGTGTGTGTGTGTGTAAATAGCTCGTGCGGAACTCTTCAACACGAACGTCCTGCACTACAAAGCCATGGAGACAGTTTGGCCAGTGTGTTACAGCACTGCTGCTGCCTGGGTTCAAACCCTGACTGCAGCATGCATCCCGGATCTTGATATGTATAATCCGGGAGGGGAGCAGAGCGGAGCGGGGGGGGGGGGGGGGGGGGGCAGCGGGGCGCGCGCGCGTGCGGTGGCCCTGGCCTTGACACTCTCTTTTCATGCGACCTGTCACAACCTTGGCGGTGCATTTTTCTCCGCCTGTTTGCTGCGAAAACAGCCACAAAACGGCCAAAATCCCGCTATAGGGGTTACACCGCTTTTCCACCGTGACGGAGTGTGGTGGGTGGGAGCGGGGAACGTTCCCGCTCTGATACCAGTGTGACGGACCCACTGGGATGGCAGTCCGTCACGATGAAGACGGAGGGTTGAGGAACGAGATGGAGATGGAGCTGGAAGGGACAGCACAGCTCCAACGCAGACTCAACAAGCACGTACTCCAAAACGTGCAGAATGAAGACTGACTGGACTGGACTGGACTGGCGTGGTACCGACAGTGGTACCAGGACTGGACTGGACTGAAACAGCAAACGGCCTGCGCGGTCAGGCCACGGCCTGGTCCCACAGGCCAAACAGGCAAATAGCCTGATAGGCCCTGGCTGTAGGCCAGGGCAGATAGAGGCCCGCTGCTGGATTGTTGTGAAAGAGACAGAAAAAGGGGGACTTGTCTTACTCCTATCAAAGTCTTGGCAGTGCCGCTGAGAAGTTGTCTGAGCTCTGTATGGACAGACTGCAGGGTTTTCCTGAACAAATAAGCTGCTAATCTTTACCTTATTCAAATAGAATTGTTCTTCATTATGTCCAAGAAAAGATGTTAGTTGCTCAATTTGTTTATTTATCGATCTATCTGTCTATCCATCCCTGCATCCATCCATTCTTTTCTCTACACAGTTGCAAAACAGTGTTCATTGAAAGGAAGGATATTCTGACACCTGCCAACTTCTGATCACAATCCGTCTTTCTGATGTTATGTGAACAGAAACTATGTGGTGGTCAAAGGGCAACACAACAGGAACAGCTCCTGCAGCCCGGGACAGTCACACATGCTCATCCTGGGGGAATAGTCTTGTTGTGATTGGTGGAGAAGATAGCAACAACAGTTACCTGAGTGACGTCTACATTCTCAATGCTGGTAAGGGGCTAACGCTGGTAAAGGACTGGCCATGGGCGTGCATTGGGATAGTTAATGGTATGGATTGTTTTGAGATGGAAAGCAAAGCTTGGTGTGCGAATGGAACATGTGCGAGTCGCAGCATATCTGTGAAGGTGGTAATGAATAACGCTTGTTCCTTAGCATAAGAACCTCTATAGCATACGGCCCTTGCGTATTGGAGGGCTTTCTGCCGTGCTTTGAACCCCTGATCACAGTACCAAACCCAATTTGCGTTGCTGGACCCGCCTTTTTTCTCTTGCTCTCTGCCTCTCTCGGCACATGCGTTTGAGCTTTTTTCAAATGCTGTTCCTTTGACAGTTCTTTTCTTTATGACTAAAAGCTGTAGAGAAGAAGAGCTGCCCACCTTTTAGCCTTTCTCTATTGCCTTTCTATTTAAAATTTAAATCAGATTTTCACCTGCCATCCTTGTTCAGTCATTCATTGCTCTCACAGGTTACCAGACCGTAACAAAAGAAATAGAATCTTGTTCCACGTTCTTGAAGCATTCGATAGATCAGGCCGGGCTGTAACAAAACGCGGCCAAGTCAGACACTTGCCTTTTTGCTTCAACAATAAAGGCGTATCACATGGAATGAGAAGACCAGAGACTGCGAAGCTCAGCAATTGTAGGGCATTCAAAGAGAGAGAGAGAAAACTGTGTGATAAAGAGGAAATAAGGGCATACTCATACTCCGATTCGGCGAGGTCTGGCCGTAATTGCAGTCACATGCATTTAGCAAAGGGCTAGCTTGAGTATGCCCTAGGGCATCTATTCCCAAGCAAAAACGAAGCAGTCTGGTGATGCCTTTACAGAAGAGTGTCAGTCTCAAGCTTAGCTGGTCTTGTCCCCCAAGGATGTTCTGATTGCCCCTGAGCGGGGATTTCGCTGTTGGACCCCATTTCTTAGATCACAATGCACAACCCCCCTCAGCTAAGTGGGCCATCATTTCCCAAGGCCTGTCTCAAATCTTCCCCATGCAGTCTTGAATGACGGGTTTCAGACTTAAGCATTTGAGGGCTGCTCATGGATCAACCTGAACGCAAGCCATGCACCCGGGCTTCTTAACTGTTGTATGCAGCATCCGTCCCCCCTCCTGCTTTCCCCCCCTTTGCTCCAACGGCAAGTTGGAGCCAAATATTAAACCACCAGTCCATCAGGGGCTAATTGTCGAACCAAAAAGTGCATTTTGCGGAGCCTAACATCTACAGTGGCTGCAGATTGAACCAGGCAGGACGTGGTACCAGTACCAGCATACGTGTGTGACAAAAAGAAAGGCAGGCAAGCAGGCCTCATCAGTGCAACCTGCGTGTCCGCTTTGTTTCGATATTTCTCTGTTTTTGCTTTTTCTTTTTGGATTTGGATTTGGATTTCTTTTTCTTTATTTTGACAGGGCCACATTCTTGAGGTACCATCGTCCCCAGAAGAAAAAAAACAAGGGAATCGTCATTGGGAAAAACAAAACAAAACAGGTGTCATCATTGAGCAGAACAGGTGTTTGCGAATTTATGTTGATGGCGTCTTGATTCGAACTTAGGGGTGTATTTCAAGCGTTCGTGGGTGTACCAACTGAGGGCATACTCGCACTACGACTTTTTCTGCTAAGCGCCGGACGTGCTTGCAGTCTCATACATCTGGAAAGGTTGTGGTGCGAGTATGTCCTAATGTATGCCCATGAGCTCTTTCCTTTGTTTCGATACAAAGTGCAGCTGTTCGCCCTGCTGAGCTGGCAGGCCGTTTCTTTCGTTTTCTTTTTCTGTTGATTTTCTTTCCTTCCTTTTTCTTTCGAAATGGCCACGGCCTTGTGGAATCATCATTGCCCTCTCCTAGCCAAAGGCCAAGAGAGGTAAGAAGTACTAAGAACTAATCTTATGGCAGCTGGATTCGAATTTCCGTCTGTATTTCAACAGTTCTTGAGTGTACCAGCTGAGCTATCCCGTAAGTTTCCGAAACGCAAAAGAAAAAAACAAAGAACAAAAAAGTGCACCAGCAGTCCACCCTGCTGAGCTGGGAGGGCGGTTTTCATGCGGCTTTGAAACTGCATGGGCATCGTTCCACTGCACAACACTCTACATGAATTTGGACGCTATTCGGACTGTCCAGAGAGCATCCAAAAGCTTGTAGAGTGTTGTGTAGTGGGGCTCAGCTCTATGTAACCATTGTGGGCCCGTCAGCCCCACCCCCACCAAACCTCCCCCATGCCTGTTTACTTCAGATTTTGCATCGGTACTCAGTACCGGGAAAAATCTACAGTACAGGGTTCGATGGACTGGTGGTTTAAGGTTCTTATAGGGTAGAGGAAGCCCGGGTACATTCGGGAAGGCCTGAAGCTTCAGTCCTGGCAAACCTCCTCTAGGAATTCACAAGCTGGTGGGAATGGCCATTATCCATTGTCCAACTGTGAGTACCGGAAGGCGCAGAGCTTTGCCTTTCTGTTGACATAACGCCCTCATCCTTGCGTTCAGTCACACATGAGAACACACTTGAAAGATTTGACCAAGCATATGGGCCAAGAATCCAAACCTGAATGCCTGGCTCTTCATGATCCCTGAGACTCTCTACTGAGTATAACCCTGCTCTTCTGTCATCGTCTGTGTTCAGTTGTGAAGCTCATTGGCTTCGTTCGGGTCTGGACTGCCATAGCTTGGATTGAATGAAAGTCAGATGACATGTCACGAATTGCGTTGCTTGTGGACAATGAAGGACAGTTTGGTAGCAAAAACTGCACTGCCAGGGTGGCTTACTTGGGACTGATGTGCCAGCATGGATGCGTTGCTTGTCGCGTAGAGAGTCTGGAATGGAAACAGCTGGAGACTACAGGGCAGAAGCTATCTCCTCGTGCCGGTCATGCTGCTGTGTCCATTGGCAAGTACATCATAATCTTTGGTGGCTTCACAGACGATAGGAAGCTGTTTAATGACCTCCACATTCTTGACATAGGTGAGTTGTGACTGTATATTTTTGAACAAGTGCTGTAAAGGCCATTGAATTGTTTGTGAAATTTTGTAAGATATATAGATATATACTAGATATATACTAGAGGGAGAGCGAGAGAGAGAGAGAGAGAGAGAGGAGGGAGGAGTGTAAGGAGAGGTTGTGGGGGTTGGAATGGGGCAGAGGAAAGAGGGGAGGGGAAAGGGGGGAGGGTTAGGGGACAGTTGGAGGGGGGGTGTTAAAGGCGCAAAATGACATGTTTTTAGGTTTCGCCTTTTTATTTTTGTGTGTGCGTTTGTGTGTGTTGTCATATTCGCTATACAGTGTATACACTCAAGAAAAGCATGACCTTGCCAGGCTGTTTCGTCGGACTTTCACCGACTCATCACAAGGTTGAACCCCGACAGTCTGCCCAGGATTCATTTGACTGATGGATAAGGACTCACCACATCACCCATTGTTAGCAACACCCCTGAGAGAAGTTGTCGACTTTACTCGCACCAAGCTTGAAATCGTAGTCTGAGCGAGAGAGAGAGAGAGAGGGGGGGAGGGGAAGACGGGAGGGGTACCTTCTTAACCCGAAAAAAACATACATACGTTCTATTTGAATTACCTTCGAAAATCAGACTTTTAGAAATCACTCTTTTTTCCCCAAATAGAACGTACGGTCAAATACAACGTACGTACGTTGTATTCGACGTACGTATGTTGTATTTGAAGTTTTACAATTTTGTTTTTTCAAAAATATTCAGAAAATTCAAAATTGTAAATTCCGGGAAAAAAAATGTTGTACAACAATCCAATACGAACAACTTTTGCTTGAGGGTCTTGTCGAGATTTACAACCAAATTCGAGAAAAAAAAAAAAAAAAACGAGGATGAAAATATTATTTATGGCAGGGACATTCTGTTCACTGATTTTTTCAGCACCTCGATTTTCAAACAACTTCATTAAAAAATCCGAAAAAAAAGTATGTTGTACAAAATTGCAATGCAAACAACTTTTGCCGGAGGGTCCTGGCGAAATTCCGAGCCAAATTCGACATTGAAAAAAAAAAAACAATAGCCATACTATAGGCTTCTGACAAGTTGTACCCTAAAACTCGTTATATAACGTACGTACGTTGTATTCGAATACAACGTACCCCGTACGTTGTATTCGTTTATAACGTACGTACGTTTTATTCGGATTAAGAAGGTAGGGAAAGCCGGGGCGGAGATCCGGCGCGATTTCGTTTTTCATTTACATGGTTGTTCTTCGTTTTTGTTTTCTGGGTGTGAAAAAGAGAGAGAGAGAGAGAGAGGAGGG